TGTTTGGAACGATCACGAGGTACTTATAATTTATCATAATTATATATTTTTATTTTGTTAACGTAAGTTAGTGGTTTGTAAAATAAATTGTTAATCATATTGATTATTTGCAATAATTTAAAGCAATACAATGTGCCACTTACTTAGACTCTTTATAAAGAGATACATGCCTAAGGAAATGAGGTCTTAAGCGATCATCATGATCCTCCCATTTCCTGGGAAAATCGGGTTTTAAGAGATTCTCGGATCCCCCATTTTCTGTCAAAAAAGCTGTGTTTGTAAGGAGATGTATACCTCTTCTAAGAGTCTAACGAGTGTTATTGTATTGTTTAAATTATTGAAGCAACCAATGCGATTTAAAAAATAATTTTATGAAATATTTCAAAATGCTATTCATTTATTTCACTTAATTTAATATGATTGTTTTAGTAAATTATGTATACATTTTAAAAATGTCTTTATTTCGTTAAGGCTATATTGTTTATTAAAATAAATATACATGTATGTTTATCAATATATTTATAAATCATAAACTTATGGTGAAAGTAAATTTATTCGCTAGGATGCACACCGTATAGTCCGCTCTATGAGTAGGATGATGGCTTTAATCTTCAGGCCGAGCTGTTGCTCAATTAGATACTTGATAGCCGCAACAACCACCCTGGATTTCAACAGTCGATGGCCTTGGGATCTTATGAATGATAAATGTGAGAGTGTTCATCGCACGGGTTATGACCCAATGCCCGACCCTCTTGCTCTTGATGGCCCGGACCCTAGCCTTGCATCACTCGTGTTGATTTTGGCATCTAACTATGAGTCTCTTCGTGTCGGAATGTGTTGTGCGCCATTCAAAAATCCGAGTCATTGATTCAGCTTCAACAGCGTGTCAGACCTCCTTATTCGATCCAAATTGTTGGCCCTTCGTAAACCCAGTGAGTGGACCCCATACTGGCACCTCCAGCGACTCCATGTCGGCATCAACATACCAATTTTCATTTGGAATGTGGTTGTAGTACGGGATATGTACTCGATCACGATACACCTCATCATCATCTGAGTCTGAGTCATGGCCTGAATCATAAGCACCTTCAAGAGGGTCAAAGCTGTCGGCACTGAGTGGTCCTTCTTCTTCTTCTTCTTCTTCTTCTTCTTCTTCTTCTTCTTCTTCTTCTTCTTCTTCTTCTTCTTCTTCTTCTTCTTCTTCTTCTTCATCCTCAGAATCGCTGATTGGTCCTGGCAGGGTATTTTCCATCTGATCCAGATCATGAAAGGCACCCTCATCATCTCCGTAATGGTAGTTGTGATAACTGCCACTGCCTGCATGAAAGTCATACTCGGGTTGGTACTGGTAGCCTTCTTGTTGGTTGTCATGGTACCCTTGGGCTTCTTCGAATGATGGAAAAGATTGATGATGGCCTCCACCTCCTTCTTGATACTCATTGTAGGGATGAAGATCATATGGTAGCTTTGATAGGGATGATCTTCATATAATCTCCATCCACCATTAGGGGTGGGCATTCGGTCGGTTCGGTTCAAACCGAACCGAAATAATGTATACCGGGTTTCCGAGTTCCATCAAACCTCAAACCGAATTCGAACCGAATTATAATTCGGTTCGGTCGGTTCAAACCGAATTATAATTCGGTTCGGTTCGGTTTTGTATGAAAAACCGAACTTGTGAGGTTAGCTTGTATTTTTTCTCTTTTAAATTATTTTTCACCTCTAATGTAAACAATAAATATGCAATTAAATGCATCATCAATGATAAAATCAAATATTTCAACACATAAGTCATAAAACACTAACATAATTCAAATATTTAAGTCTCATAATAAGTACAAACATAAAAATCCACCATTTGAAACTTGCAATTATAGTAATTCGGAAAATCGGTTCGGAATTCGGAAATTCGGTTCGGTCGAAAGGACCTTAGTTTCCGAAATATACCCTTTTCTCTTCCGAATTCCGAACCGAATTAATGTTATTCGGTTTCGGTTCGGTTTGAATTCGGTTCGGTTCGGTTCGGTTTTACCGAACCGTATGCCCACCCCTATCCACCATGGATACCAGATGTTTGGCCTTCTCCAGAATGACCTCCGGCGTCTTCAATCGTCTCGGTGTAAATGAACATCTATGCTTTGGGAATGTTATTGATGATAAAAAATTCAACCATGGAATCTACTTCCGCCTGAGTGGTTATGAGGAATTCCTCATGCCACAACGCCCCGCCTTGTCTGTTTGGATATCGGTACACCATACGGTCAACTCTCCTCGTGCCACCCATGCAAGTAACCTCAGTACAAATTCAATGAAGATCTTCAAGGTTCGGTCTATTAGCAACCTTCACTTTATAAAAATTACCATCGACGTAACGTACTCCCTTTCCGGTCTCTTCCGTATAACCATTCCACCGTAACCCAAGCGTGAACTTTTGGAATGACATATGCAATAAAACAGTAACTTAATTAATACCATCAAATTTGGCAAAGCAAACTCAACATAACAAGTAATATAAAACAAACTTACAATGTAACGTTAATCGCTATAATTTAAAATACAACTCGCTAAAACAAAAGCTTAAAGAAGAATAGGAAGAGGAGGTGAAGTGCTGAGTTCTCTGGGGCTGCCTTTTATAGGCAAAATCCCATTTGAAAATCGCCCCCCCCCCCCCCAAGGCGGTTTGCAAAAGACATGCAACCCCACCCTGCAATCCCCTGCATGCCGACATGTAAACCTGTCGGGAAAGTGGGGATTGCAGCAAGCCTCCCCCCCCCCTCCCCCCCAAAGCGGTTTTGGATGTCGACATAACAAACCGCTTGTGGAAGGAGCAGTTACCTTTTGCAACCAAAAACCGCTCCTTCAGTAAGCGTTTTTATCTAGGGCAGCCGATAAACCGCGCTGCAGAGGAGCGTTTTCTTGGCAATTCTAAAACCGCTTTCTCCACATGCGGTTTAATTGAAAATCGTGTCCCCCTGTGGCGGTTCTCAATTAATGGTGGTAGTTTTGAAAATTTTGAGGGTTGGGTGATATTTTTGTAATTTTTAAAAAAAAATGAGGGTTGGGTAGCACAACCACAATACATAAGTGGTATTTTTATCTACAATTTGTTGATGGACTAGTGAAATAATTGAAAAGTATGACAAAGAAGCATGGTTGTCACGCCGGCCGGCGTGCCATTGGTTGAACCTGGTTCAACCTGTACTGGTCATAAAACCAGCATGACACCACCGGTATGACCGGCATGATCGATATACGAATCTCCAAGTAAAATGACCTAGTGAATTTAATTGATAAAAAATAATTTATTATTTATTTTATGTGTTAAAAAGTTAAATGTTGATGTTATTTGTTGGATCCAAGTACAAATATTTAGGTATTGACGTTAAATGTCGTGTTTAAATGAGTATTTGTAAATTATTTGTAATATTAACCGGCATGAACCGGCACAAACCGGTATGTACCACCGGTCGAACCATTCCACTTGCTAAACCGGCACACTGGCATAAACCGGTTTGACAACCTTGCAAAGAAGTGAAACCCACATGTGTGAGGATCCATGGTGTTTGGGATATGTAGTTAATGATTTTCATTTCTCCACTAACTATTATTTCATTAAAACTAATTTAAAAGATTGTATGAGTAACAGAACACATAACAAGTATTAGTAAGATCCACGAGAGACAAAGAGGAGTGTGCTTGAAGATATAATAATCTTTCTAATTTTTTATGAATTTATCTAAAGATCAATCAACTCGTCGATCTAATGATTAGTTGAAGAATTATTTTTGGGTTAACCCACAATTCAATCACACCATTTTGTCACCAACCCAAACCCAATTAAAGAATCTAATGATTAGTTGAAGAATTATTTTTGGGTTAACCCACAATTCAATCACACCATTTTGTCACCAACCCAAACCCAATTAAAGAATGTAACTGAATGGTGGATCACAATTATACCAAATTGTTACTAAACTAATCACTTATTTTAAAAACGAAATATACTCAATGCACCAAATACCCACCCCTAAAATAAAACGTAAAGTCTTTTTTTTAGTTTTATCTAAATTTTTCTTCAGCTGACTTTATATCTTCGATTAGGAGATTCATAGTCCATAGAGTATATTCTGTGGGGTTCTTTATACTATCATACCCCTGAATTTTTTCTTTCTTCCAAACTAGTTAAGGCATTAGCCGGCTCAACTACTACAGTATCGAAATAATCCCAATAAATAAGCACGAGATGCTCATTCTCCCAACCACACTTGTAAATTATATTGTTGCAATTCTTTTATCGAGCCATGTTTAGATTCTTACGAGAGTGGTAACTTAATTATATATATTTGCACATCGTCAATTCCCGCATCACCTCTACAATCCCACGTAATTCCCGCATTAACCTTGTTGATTATGCAGATTCTTACGGGTTAGGTTGGGCACATAAACTCTCATCTCAGTTCTATATTAATTTGGAAGACGAAATGGCCATATCACTAACTAATATAATTTCTATAAAGAGTTTGGTTAAGATGGATATTTCATCCCAATAATTCGAGTTACTGAGATCAGTTGGTTTGTAATATGGTATCATAACTGACTTGTCCTTGATGTCACGTGTTCAAATTCTCACGACCCACATTATTAACCTTTGTTTTAAAGTACATGGTACGTAAAGTCTCTGCAAATTTCAAACTCATATACGAACCTCTCACAAGAACACGAGTTATTGAGACTGGTTGATTTTATATATCATACTTAGCTAAGTAGTAATCAAGTAAGTGAACATTTTATTAACAAACCCTAACAACCATTTACAAAATTAACCCACATGAGTTGACATATATATCAAATAATGGCACCAACGAAACTTCAATTAAGTAATAATCAAAGTAGTTAGTGACAATATGCATTACACTAGACAGCTTATATAAAGCATAGTAGTATTTTTCGATCCACCAATGCAAATGAGCTTCTTTACCATGAAAAACCTCTTCCAAAACATGATCATCTCATGCTCTTCCTTCGATATCTCCTTCCTCCTCGCACTCACAATCATTCTTGTAATCACCTTATTCATCCTAAAGCAGAAGCTATCCAAAACCGCCGTTTCAAACCTACCGCCGGGGCCACGGAAGCTCCCCATCATAGGAAACATCCACCAGATGGCCGGCGACCAACCCCACCGCCGACTCACCGACCTGGCCCGCAAACACGGTTCCGACGTGATGAGCCTTCAGCTTGGGGAGCTCTCTCACATCGTGATCTCAACTCCTGAAGCCGCCAAGCTCGTGATGAAAACCCACGACGTAGCTTTCGCTTCGAGGCCTTACCTCCTGGCCGCGGACGTGCTCTACTATGGCTGCAAGGACATAGCTTTCGCGCCCTACGGAGATCACTGGAGGCAGATGCGCAAGCTCTGCACGCTCGAGCTTCTCAGCGCCAGAAGAGTTGAGTCTTTTCGCCGCATCAGGGAAGAAGAGGTGTCCAACCTCGTGGCCTCTCTCACCGCGGCTGCAGGGAAGCCTGTGGATCTCGGACGGATGTTGTCCACTGTGACGAGTACCATAACTTCGAGGGCGGCGTTTGGTAAAGCGCAGGAGCTGAACGATGATTTCCTGATGGTTGTCGATAATATATCGGATGTTCTTGCAGGTTTCAGGATCTCTGACCTCTATCCTTCCCTCAAGTTTCTGCCTAGTCTTACCGGGTTCAAATCTAAGCTAGAGAAGATGCGCAAGGCATCGGATTCTGTGCTGGATCGAATCATCGATGACCATAAAGCCAGGAGATCAATGGCAGGAAGCAAAGGTGGTGATGGTGATGGTCATGGTAGAAAAGAGGATCTTGTTGATGTGCTTTTGAATCTTCAAGAGAATCAGGAGGATCTTGGAGTTCCCATCACAACGGATGTCATAAAAGCAATAACTTTGGTGAGTGTATACATGGTGATGATGTGATGATGTTATCATTGTTCTAAATTCATTCACGTTTTTTAATTTATATATTTTATTACCATACTCACAATATTGACTTTATTAGGAGCTATTTATTGCTGGCATCGAGACATCAACAACAACGCTAGAGTGGATCATCTCAGAAATTATGAAAAATCCAAGAGTGCTACAAAAGGCACAACAAGAGGTCAGACAAGTATTTGGTGATGAATACAACAATAAATTTGGCGAAGCAGGCCTTGATCAATTGAAATATTTGGACATGGTTATCGCCGAGAGTCTAAGGTTACACCCACCGGTTCCGTTGCTTGTTCCAAGAGAAAACAAATATCAAAAGGTGAACCTCGATTCATACGAGATTCCAATCAACACCAACGTCATCGTGAATGCTTGGGCAATCAATCGAGATCCTCGTCACTGGACAGAGCCAGATGAATTCTACCCAGAAAGATTTAATGGCAGCTCGGTCGATTTTAACGGGAACAATTTTCAATTTATACCATTCGGTGCTGGAAGAAGGATGTGCCCCGGAGTTTCTTTTGGAATGGCTATCGTGAAACTTACTCTGGCAAATTTGCTTTTTCATTTTGATTGGAAGCTTCCTGCGGAGCAGAAGAGCATTAACATGACAGAGTGCTTTGGAATAACACTCAGAAGACAATATCCACTCCATCTGATTCTAGTCCCTTATGGTCGCGTGCTTTGAATAAAGCACAAGCAAAACTGTGATAAAGACGTTCGTATGTAATTTGTGCTTTCTTTTCATTTCCGTGTTTATATTATGCTTTCTTTAATCCTGCATGCATCACTTTGTATTTATTTTCTATATGATTTATTTCTTCCAAAAATTGCCATAGTCGGTGTAATTTGTATGCTTTTTTTTTATGAATAATGATGAAATCGGCATCTCATAATCGATATTATAATATGGCTCTATGAGTTATCATTTTGTTTGAAAGTTAAAATTAAGTGAACATTTTATTAAGAAACCCTAACAACCATTACTAAAATTAACCCGCATCACATCTGCATAGTATAAGCTTAACCTAGCAATATGTAGGAGCCGTAGGGCTATCATATCGTTCGGCTAACCAAATCATTAATTTGGAACAATCAAAATCCAAAATAATTAAGTCTCTTAAAACCAATAGTAATCGATGATGGGCTTATCATCGGTTTTGGTTGATAAAAATATTGTTCACAATATGATTTCGGTTTCTTGGTTTATTATCCATTGTACAGTTTAAATTAAAACCGTAACTGGTAATTTACTAACCTTAATTATGGTTCGTTTGATTTTGGTTGGAACCGAAAACCGAAATGGAATCTACACTCTGGAGGGTAGAGTTTATGTACTATTATAGTATTTTAGTAGTGATGGGTGTTTCCAGATCCTCGTACCAAACCAATTCTTGTATATTACATTAAACCTCCAAACAACATCAAAATGAGGAATACATCATGAAAACTTTTCATTATTGTTCGAATTATATGGCCAACAAGAAGATCAAAAGTGATGAATTCTTGCGTGCAAAGGATCGATGGACAATCCACATGATCGTGATCAACACAAACAATGGCAGTGATGGCCTTTAGATGTTTGCTTGCACAGCGCACCATCGCACTCCTCAATGCAAAACTCGTAGCAGTTCCCACCAGGAGCGTCGTTCTTCCCAGGAATGCACTCTCCCAAGTCATAGTACTCCCTGCAACATCTAGACTCGATCACGTGATCGTTAGGACGTGTCCCAACAAATCGAGTACCTGCAGCAGCTTCGCTGCTAGCTAGCATAGCCACTAGTAGCATTGCTACCAGGCATCCAACTTTGACTCCTCCAATAGCCATGGCGATTACTACTTGATTTCCTGGAACTAATTTTCTGTCTAGCTAATTTCGATCTGGGATTTGATTTGTTTTGCTCATGGAGAGACCAAACAAAGGGGATTTATAGGGTTTCAAATGATAATGAAGAAATGGGAAGAGTAATCTTCCATTTTAATGCAGTGTTATATATGGAAAATTTTGATGGGATTAATTTGAAAAACGTATCATGAAATAGAATTAGGAAATATATTACAAATGATTACACAGATTTTAGAACATTAACGGTAATTTTATTTTTAGCAGGATACTAATTAATATTCGGGCGTTGATCGTAGGCTCCCTAATTAATGATTCAATGAACGTGCATTATATTCTGTATCATATATATTTTTCCTTTATAAATTTTTGTCAAGAATGCATGCATGTATTTTATGGTGGGGAAGCCTAAATCTTAACATGTGTAAAATGCAATGTTTTAATCTCTCCTTAGCTTTACAAACTATTTTCTTCTATTTTTAGGCTCATTCGAAATTGTTTATGGTAAATGTCTAGTAAAATGGGTGAATATTATGGTCAAGTTCATCAAAAAAAAATTGAATCATACCAAGAGAGATGTTGATTCCTTATTAAGACAAATTCCCCTCATTCATAAAAAAACATAGAAAAAAAGAGATAAAGACTAAATTCATAAGCATGCAAGGTTGTCAACCTGGTTTATCTCGTTGATTCGGTCGAGCAAGTGAGTTGAGTGTTAATAATCCGAACGTTTTAGCTCATTTTAGTCCGAATATATTAAAAATTCATTAAATTGTTCATATTTATAAATTATGTAAAACATCATCTAACATATGGGTTATAACATATAACATGACATCATAATCACAGTTCGTACTTCGGTACTTAGATCAATTCATATAATGAAAATTCGAACACACTCATATAAAATCAATATTCAAATGTTCAATTTGAATTCCAAAGATAGGATTAGGCGAAGGAAAACCTGAAAAAGAGACGCATTTCACAAACCAAAAGAAAAAAAGCGACATTGTGTGACCTCTAATCCATTTATTTCATGGAAACTTCCATCCGTAACGAAACAAGAAAGCCTTGACATAGTAATTACAGAAATGTCATTTTTGAAATGTTGTTATTGGTTTTCCGTAATCGTCCACCCGTGAAATCTGCCTTCTCTGATCTCCTTCTCTTTTCGCCCGCTCTCCCTCTCTATCATCTCCTCCCTTCTTACTCCTTTGATTGCTTCTCTATCTTTTGGTCTTCGCTCAATGTGCTTGTTCAATGTGCCACTTTGAATCTAATTCGAAGCTCAACCAGATAGTCAAACATATGATTTGACTGGTTTAATTTTCAACTAGTTTGACCAAATTCGAATTTCTTAAGAAATTGGGTTACTGACGTCTAGTCAAGAGTCTGGTTCAGTTGAACCTGATTCGATCTTTCGGGTCGATATTGAGTTGACAACCATAGAGTCACATCAACTCACATTTCACGTGACAACTTTTTTTATCAGTTTGGAGGACACATCGAACCAATATATTTAATTTACAAGAAAATATATATAAACGATAACGACATGGACATCTCATTATCCGATGTAAAATAACTTATTATTTTGTTTGAAACTGAAACATTGTATTAAGAAATTCTAACAACCATTTATAAAATTACCCTACATCACATCTCAGCCAAGAGTAATTAATAGGGACACGTCCTTTAACAATCTGCATAATATTATTCAAACTAGCCATGCCCATGTGTAATGGGTGTTTTCTGCTTTGGATCCACTATGACTACCAACTTTTTCATCGTCACCATGGAAAGTTACATATAAAAATGACATGAGCAACCTAAGTAATGGCGCCACGTATATGTTGTTTGTATATTAAGTTAAAGCATTTTAATTAGTAGCCTGCTGATCAACTACTCCATTATTGATCCTGAGAATTAAAATAATTAGGAGTATATTCGGTTAGCGGTACACTGATAAACTAATCAATAATGGATGATTAGAGGTAATTCATTAATCGATTATAAGTTAGACATACACTTATCGATAGGCTGAAATAGTTTTCGGTGTAACCGATAATCGAATAGTCGGTTAATGATTAACCGACAACTAATCGTATATATATATTTCTAATCTCTCCACGAAATGGTCATGTTTCCTTCAAGCGAACTTCGAATAAACTATCTCCTCCCAGCCCGACCCTCTTTTATTTTTCCAATTTGCTCCGAGTGTGAACCCTAAAATTGAAAGAGGTAAAGAGTATTCATCGATTTCGTGAGTTAAATGTAGACATCAAAATTGGATTGGAAAAGTTTGGATGACTTATACTAAAGCAAAGGTAGCAAAGATCGATCCCCATTTTTTTCCATCAATGACTTCCCTCTCCTAGTTTGCTTTTATCACTCTGCTACCTTCCTCTATCCGCTCTCTTCTAGGCCCCTATAGGAACAATAAGTCAAACCAAATCAATGATAAAAATATATAAAAATAATAGAAAAAACACATATATATGTAAGAAAAAATCTACAAAATCCAAATATGAAGAAAAGGGAGACCTTCTGTTGATTCAGTTACCAATCAATTAGCTTGGTCTAACATTGTCGAATCACTTACTAAATAGTTAGTCGCTTACCCAATAACCGAAAAAGGGTTATGGTTACAACCGAACCGACTAACCGCCAGCACTAAAAATAATAATTAATCCGAACACATGATAAGCACCAGATGGAGAAATGCTCCCAAACCAATGGGAAACATCGTTCAAACAAAAACAAAAACAAAAACAAAAAAAAATTATGGAAAGAAAGACCTCCTACCCATGAGCTTATATAATAAAGTTGTATGGTGTGTGTTTTGATAAGATCCTCGTACCAATGAGCTTCATTACCATGGAATATCTCCGCCACAACATCATGATCTCTTGCTCTTCCTTCTTCGACCTCCCCTTCCTCCTCACACTTGCAACCATACTCGTAGTCACCTTATTCATCCTAAACCATAAGCTTTCCAAAACCGCCGTCTTAAACCTGCCGCCGGGGCCACGAAAGCTTCCCATAATAGGAAACATCCACCATATGGCCGGCGACTTACCTCACCGTCGACTCAGCTACCTGGCCCGTAAACACGGCCCCGACGTGATGAGCCTACAGCTCGGGGAGCTCCCTTACATCGTAATCTCAACTCCTGAAGCCGCCAAACTCGTGATGAAAACCCACGACCTAGCTTTCTCCTCACGGCCTTACCTCCTGGCCGCGGACATACTCTACCATGGTCGCAAGGACATAGCTTTCGCGCCCTATGGAGATCACTGGAGGCAGATGCGCAAGATCTGCACACTCGAGCTTTTCAGCGCGAAACGAGTTCAGTCTTTTCGTCACATAAGGGAAGAAGAGGTCTCCAATCTCGTGGCTTCTCTTACTCGTTTTGCAGCTGCAGGGAAGCCTGTGGATCTCACTAGGATGGTTTCTACGGTAACGAGTGCCATAACTTCTAGGGCAGCGTTCGGTAAAGCGCAAGAACTGACCGATGCTTTTATGATCGTGGTCGACAATGCTTCGGATGTTTGTGCAGGGTTCAGAATCTCTGATCTCTATCCTTCGTTCAAATTGCTGCCTGTCCTCACTGGATTCAAAGCAAAGCTAGAGAAGATGCGCGAGGCATCGGATTCGGTGCTGGATCAAATCATCAGTGAGCATAAAGCTAGAAGAAGGGCGGCAGTTGTTAAGGATGGTCATGATGGAAAGAAAGAGGATCTTGTTGATGTACTTCTGAATCTTCAAGAGAACCAGCTGGATCTTGGAGCTCCTCCCATCACAATGGAGGTCGTTAAAGCAATAACTTTGGTGAGTACATATGGTGGTACGATGATGATGTAACTATGCTAACAAGTTTGGTATTAGCATGCACCCTAATCTCTGACGTATATTCAAAATACCCTTCTTTTTATTAATTTTCTGATTATTTTTGTATAGGATACTCACAAGATGCATTGACTTTATTAGGAACTGTTTCTAGCGGGCATTGAAACATCAACTACAACAATAGGGTGGACCATGTCGGAAATAATAAATGATCCGAGGATTCTACAAATGGTACAACGAGAGGTCAGGCAAGTGTTTGGTTCTGATGGCAAAAAGCATTTCGACGAAGCAAGCCTTGATCAATTGAATTATCTGGATATGGTAATCGCCGAGAGTTTAAGATTACACCCACCGGCTCCTTTGCTTGTTCCAAGAGAAAATGTGGATCAAAAGGTGAAGCTCATATCATATGATGTCCCTATTAACACCAGTGTCATCGTGAACGTCTGGGCGATCAATCGAGATCCTCGTTACTGGAAAGAGGCAGATAGATTCATCCCGGAAAGATTCATGGACTGCTCAATCGATCATAAGGGAACTGATTTTCATTACATTCCATTTGGTGCTGGAAGAAGGATGTGTCCGGGAGTTTCTTTTGGAATGGTCATAGTGAAACTTATTCTAGCAAATTTGCTTCTACATTTTGACTGGACGCTTCCTGCTAAACAGAAAAACATTGATATGACAGAATGCTTTGGAGTGACACTCAGGAGACAACATACTCTCCATTTGATTCCGGTTTCATATAGTTTTGTGGATTTTGAATGAATGAGGTGTAATAAAGATGCTTGTATTATATTTGTGCTTTTGTTCTATTTCAATATGTAAAATTTCATTATGTTCTTCAATATTTTCCTACCAAATAAACATATGGATTTTGTGTGGTTCATCTGTTCAATAAACTGCTACATACTGTAAATTTGGGCCTCTATACTTAAGACTCTATATGACACAAAATGCTAACAACTCACAAATATGATCTTCTATAATGACTTGCACTCTAAAGTAAAATAACATTGTTTTTATATCTAGGTTTAATAATATGGACACTTTAACATAAACACAACCTTTGATTCATGTGTTTCTGATTCCATAATTTACACTAGTGTATTTTGAATTTTTTTAGAGGAGTTTTGTGGAGTACAGCTGGTTCAGGTTCAACCATGGTCACATTAACTCTCGTTTCATGAGATAAGTTTTTATTGATTTGGAGGACACATCACACCTGACACCACTATATTTAATTTAAGCGGAAAAATATGTGAATAATGATGAAATGGACATCTCACTAACCGATGTAAATATAAGTTATCATTTTGTTTGAAAGTGAAACATTATATTAAGAAACCCTAGAACCGTTTATCTCGTGGTATCAGCCAAGAGTAATTAATAAAGAATTTTCTTTTTGACAATTTGCTACCTAAATTTGATAGATTTTATGATTTAATATCTAAAGTTAATTGTTATGCATCGAAGTCTTAAAAATATTGATGAAAAATTACATTTCAGTACTTAAATTTTTTATCTCTCATTATACACCTAAGATTTTTAAAGTTTACAAATAGATCCGAATATATAAGGTTGATGGTATGCTTTATGAGGTATGGTATGTTATAGGTATAATATGCCCCTTTACTATGCAGTTTTATCAAACATGCCCCTCTACTATTTTTTACATCAAACATGCCCTTATACTTAGGAAAAATTATCAAACATGCCCTTATGTTAAAATTTCCATTAAAAATGGTCAATCACGGTTGAATCGAGATTCACACGACCCGACATCGAAAAAATTGGGGATGAAATGTCAGTTTTTCCTCCTCATTTATTTCTCCAGGTCTCGTTAAAGTGAAATTATCAGAGGTATTTGGCTATACAAAAAAAAAAACAAAACAATTCTAAAGTGAAATTATTAGGAATATTTTAGACATAGGTTTCGTCCAAACCAAGGTTTGACCATGGTTGATGGTTTTTGGATGCAAATTTTAACAGAATGGCATGTTTGATCATTTTTACAAAGTATAGAGGCATGTTTGATATAAAAAATAGTAGAGGGGCATGTTTGATAAAACTGCATAGTAAAAGGGCACATTATACCTATAACCCTATGTTTTACGACTTGTGGTCACCATTACGATGGCTGCATGACTCTGTTAAGTAGTATTATTTCATAGCGCAAATTAATTATCATGTGATCATCTATTCATTCCTTAGAGTATGATGAATTTCTTCACCAAGCAAGGCAAACTGATCAGCCAACCGCCAAAGTTTCATCTCTGATCGGCGCTTCGATTCACTCCCTCCCCGTTGATTTGATCGGCGAATTAATCCGACCCACAAGAGATTCGTCTCTAAACCAAGAGATTCCCTCCCCGTTTTAATCGGCGCCACCTAACCCTAGCTGTTGTTTATAAATCCTGCTCAACTACTCCATTGATCTTGAGCATTAATTTAAAAGAATGAATCCTTACACGCCACATGGAGAGATGCTCCCCCAACCAATGGGAAGCATTCGTTGGAACAAATTAAAAAACATTGTAGAAAGACCTCGTGCTAATGAGCTTATATATATTATAGGAGTGATGGTTGTTTTTTTATCAGATCCTCCTACCATGAAACGCGTCAAGATTGTATTGAAAAGATCACTTGACTTATAGTGAAAGAAAAGTGGTAAAGAGGGTACATCTTAATTTTTTTTTTCTTATTAATGACTTCCTCATGAAGTTTGCGCTCATCACACTTCTCCTTCCTCTATTCACTTTCTTCTCTAAGTTCCAATAGGAACAAAAAGCCATACATCCATGATAAACATATATAAAAAACACACATATATATGCAAATTCGGGGGAAAAAAAGATTGAGTTCTTTTGTTGGTTTGGTTATCTTGCTTTAATCTTACCGAATCATTTCCAACGATTAGTCGCGGTTAACGGACGTAAAAATCGATAATAACCTATACGTATGGTTGGTTATGATTATCCGGCTCACATAAATGATGTGATTAACCGTAAATAATAATTGCTTTACGATTAATCAATAAATGAATAACTAATCACAATTATGACCCTACCGAACTCATTCATAGCCCTAAAAACAATTCATCCCCCAACACATGCATTGAGCACCACATGGAGAGATGCTCCCCGGGGGATGGGTTAGCATGCTAACCCCTTAAGGGGTTGGAAAAATGACACCCCTTGTTAATTGGTCAATTTTTCATTAATTATTGACTAGTATTAATGAAAGTAACCATAATAAATGTTCTGTTATTAAATACAAAGTAAGAATTAAATACACCACATTAATTACTCATTTTTTTAAATAAAATCTAAACATATACAAAAATACAATTCTCTCTCTCATCTTTGATCTTTCTCTCTCCTATCTCTATTCTTCCTTTCCGAGCAGCCTCCGACCACCAAGTTTCCTCCGACCACCACTTTTGGCCGATAAAATCCGCCGACAGACTCTCTCCGGTCACCTGCGAAAATATATCACTGCACTGATATGTTGTACCACTGTACTGGTATTTGTACCACTGCACTGATATCCATATATGACACTGGTACCAGTGCACTGATATCACTACCAGTGCAGTGGTATAGCTACCAGTGTAGTGGTACAACGTATCAGTGCAGTGGTATATTTTTTGCAGGTGGTCGGAGGAAGTCTGGTGGTCAGAGGCTGCTGAAAAAGGAAAAATCAGATATAGGGAGAGAGAATATATTTAGTGTAGGTTTTAATTTGAAAAAAAAAAGATAATAATTAATATGGTGCATTTAATTCCTAATGTGTATTTAATGTGTGTATTAAATTCTATAGTTGTGTTTAATACATTAGGGAGTGTCATTTTTCCAACCGTTAGGGGTTAACATACTAACCTAGCAAATGGGAAATTAACATGGTCCAAACAAAAACAAATCAGTAAAGGAAAGACCTCGTACCAATGAGCTTATATAATACAGTACTGGTTGGTGCTTTGATCAAAATCCTCGTACCAATGAGCTTCATTACCATGGAATATCTCCGCCAAAAGATGATTTCTTGCTCTCCCTCGTTCTTCGTTATCCCCTTCCTCCTCACATTTGCAACCATTCTTGTAGCCACCTTATTCATCCTAAAGCAGAAACTATCCAAAAGCGCCGCTTCAAACTTGCCGCCGGGGCCATGGAAGCTTCCCATCATAGGAAACATCCACCAGATGGCCGGCGACCAACCCCACCGCCGACTCAGGGACCTGGCCGGCAAATATGGTCCCGACGTGATGAGCCTTCAGCTCGGCGAGCTCTCTTACATCGTGATCTCAACCCCTGAAGCCGCCAAGCTCGTGATGAAAACCCACGACATAGCTTTCGCTTCGAGGCCTTATCTCCTGGCCGCAGACATACTCTACGATGGCTGCAAGGACATAGCTTTCGCGCCCTACGGAGAGTACTGGAGGCAGATGCGCAAGATCTGCACACTCGAGCTCTTCAGCGCCAAAAGGGTTCAATCTTTCCACCGCATCAGGGAAGAAGAGGTCTCCAATCTCGTGGCGTCTCTCGCTCGTTCTGCGGCTGCAGGGCAGCCCGTGGATCTCACTCGGATGCTGTCCGCAGCAACGAGCGCCATAACTTCCAGGGCAGCATTCGGTAAAGCGCAAGAACTGACCGACGCTTTTATGATGGTTGTCGAAAATATTTCGGATGTTCTTGCTGGTTTCACAATCTCTGATCTCTATCCTTCCCTCAAGTTTCTCCCTAGTCTTACTGGGTTTAAAGCTAAGCTAGAGAAGATGCACAAGGCATCAGATTTTGTGCTGGATCAAATAATCGATGAACACAAATCCAGAAGAAAAGGCGGCGACGGTGGGAAAGAGGATCTTGTTGATGTCCTTCTGAATCTTCAAGAGAAACAGAATCTTGGAGTGCCCATCACAATGGAGGTCGTTAAAGCAATCACTTTGGTGAGTAAAAATATACGCAATTCTTATTACTATTATTTTGCTGTATATATTCTTCTTATTGTTATACTCGCTATATTTATTGAATTTATTAGGAAATATTTCTAGCTGGGATTGAAACATCAACCACAACAATAGAGTGGACCATGTCAGAAATGATGAATGATTCAAGAGTTCTACAGAAAGCACAACAGGAGGTGAGGCAAATATTTGGTGGTGATAGCAAAAACCATTTTGACGAAACCGGCCTTCATCGATTGAAGTATTTGGATATGGTTATTGATGAGAGTTTAAGATTACACCCACCGGTTCCTCTGCTTGCTCCAAGAGAAAACAGAGATCAAGAGGTGGGATTCGGTTCATATGAGGTCCCTATCAACACCAACGTTATCGTGAATGCCTGGGCGATCAATCGGGATTCTCGTTACTGGACAGATGCGGAGAGATTCTTTCCAGAAAGATTTATTGAGTGCACAACCGATTATAAGGGAAACTATTTTCAATTCATTCCATTTGGCGCTGGAAGAAGGATGTGTCCCGGTGTTTCTTTCGGACTGGCAATCGTCAAACTTATTCTAGCGAATTTGCTTTTCCATTTTGACTGGACGCTTCCTGATGGACAGAAAAGTGTTAATATGACAGAATCCTTTGGAGTGACGCTCAGGAGGCAACATGCTCTCCATCTTATTCCAGTTTCACATGGTGGGGTGCCATAGAGGCTGTAATAAAGATGCTAATATAATATTTGAGCTTTTCTACTTCAGTTTCAATATGTAAAATTTCACTATATGTACTACAATATTTTTCTACCAAATAAACATATGTATTTTGTGTGGTTTATTTTGCCAAAAAATTGCTGCGTACTATAAAAATTGTGCCTAGCTCTATATATACATAAAGACACTGCAAGACAAAATGCTAATAACACACAAATGTGATCTTCTATAATCACTTGAACAGCACATGCAATGCTTAATTAAACAAGTCTCGAACCGTTAATTAACACTTGCGACTTTCATATACTAACAAATATATCTATCATTTATCCTTCTCCCACTGTTTGATACGTAACTTTTTTTCTTCTCAATCATCTATTCTTTCGAATCTAAAAACCTACCTCAATGAATTAATTATTTTCTTTCACCATACTTTTCACAATATGCTTCTGCGCCTCTCAAGGTTGTCAACTCGCGGGTCGACCAGCGGGTCGACCCGGATTAACCCGGACCCGGCCAAAAAAACGGGCCATACCAACCCATTTTCATGTCAGTCCGGAAATAGTCAAACCCGGAGAAACCCGGTCAAACCCGGGTTGGCCCGGCCGGCTAGCCCGTTTGAGCGGGTCAGCGGGTTGCTCTTCCTAAGCCCCGTTTTGGCCGCTGCGTCGCAGTTTCTGCGGACTGCGCGGAGAGCAAACGAGGAGGGGAAGCGGCGCCGTTCTGCTTGGTGTTGGCCTGCTGGTCATCTGGAAACCAAAACCCTACAAACATACATAGCATTCCATTTCCAGCAGCGCAACCATCTCCCTCTCTCGCAGCCAATCGATATCGCCACACCAGGGTTCTTCGGCGGCACGCTCCGGTTCGCCGGCGGAGAGAATCATCTTCGCAGGTCGGCTGCCACCGTTCCGTCTCCCCTCCCTTCAGCTCGGCCGCCTCTGATCGCCGCCTCTGCTCGGCCTCCGCCTCGGCCGCCTGTGCCTCCACCCTTCTCATTGTCGGTCACCAATTCCTTCGCCGGCGGAGACCATCTTCTCATTGTCTTTTCTTTTCCATTATTTGCGAACCGAGCCTCTCCATTACCTTTAGTTCCCTGAGTCATAGTCATTTGGTAAGGGTTTGGGACTTGGTTCCAATAAATGGAACGAAAGATATATGTGATGTTTTGTGAATGATTTAAGTGTTGTTGAATTTTTACTATGTTGAATTTAAGTTGATGTTATTTAAGTGTGTTGGAGTTGAAGTAGTGTTGCATTTTTTTATGTAGGATTCAGGATAAGTATAATATAATTACATTTTCCATATTTCCGGGCTAAAACGGGTGACCCATTGACCCATGACCCACTAGCTCATCCGGGTCCGGGTCGACCCGCGGTTTGACAACCTTGGCGCCTCTTTTTTATTTTGAGCTAATTTCACTCTGCTGTAGTTTTTTTCAGAAGCAACTTCTTACAGAAGTAACATTTGCGTGATTGGCTGATACATTGTTAGAATTGTTTTTTAATATGAGATGTTGTGTAAAATAACTATAAAAGACTTATAATATAAAATATGAATAAAAATTCTAAACAATAAAAAGTTGTCAAAATTGATCTTCTTAGATTTTTTCTATATTAAATAATATGATTTTATAATTTATTTGATTTTTAAATGATATAAATGAAACAAAATTTGGGCGAGTCTGGTTTCCGATTAGGGCTGGGCTGGCCGCGCCGGCATCTGCGCCGGTGCCTGTTTCTTCCTCGATCAGTCTTCTCGAGTTCTCTATTGTGAGCGGTGGGTTTCATGGCGTCCGGGAGCGCTTCTGTTCAAGGGGTCCCTTTGAAGCCTTGGGCAGAACTCTTTGGGATTTCAGAAGCTAATCGTCTCTGTTATATGAAGCCGGAGGTTTATAAGGGTGGGCTTCGTATGCCGAAGGAGGTGAGTGAGGACGGGGCGGCTCGCTGGAAGCATAGCTTGGTGGGTCAGTTCCTTCATCCCTTTCCTGCTCTGGCGGAGCTCAGGCGGTGGGCGAATCGCATGTGGGGCAGGGATGGTCCTGTGCGTGTTTCATTACTGGGAGATCAGCTCCTCCTGATCCAGCTCCCTTCGCAAGCTACTTGTGATTGGATTTTGGAGAGTGGTCCATGGTTCTACCTGGATAACCTGCTGTATCTCCGTCCTTGGAAGCCCGGGATTGATGTTGCTGACCTGGGTCGTAAGGCTCTCCCGATCTGGGTACGCTTCTCGAATCTCCCTCTCGAGTACGTGAACTTCAAAGGACTCAGCAAAACTGCAAGTTGGTTGGGGGTTCCATTGGGCGTGGATCAGACTACTAGGGTAGGAGGGAGATTGGGTTTTGCAAAGATCCTAGTGGAGCTTCGCGCTGATGGAGATTTCCCAGACCACATACTGATTTGGCCGACGGATGAGGTTTCAATCAGGGTGGGGGTGACCTATAGTCATCTCCCCCCGGTCTGCCAGATATGCAAGAACTTTGGGCTGGATTGTGGTTGTACTGGGGGGGCAACAGGTATGGGTACGGAAGGTTGATGAGGGGCACCAACAGGTTGTAGCGACAGAGCCTGAGGCTAGGGTAGAAGTTCTTGATCCTGTGACGCCTGCTGAGGCTGTTCAACATAAGGGTAAGGCAGTTATGGTAGATGGTGGGAGGGGGTAGACAAATTTTGATATGCTTATTGGGTCGAATAGAGTGGTTGTGGCAGCTAGCCCTCAAGGGGTCAATTTGGAGGCATCTTTTCAGTAGGTGTCCGAGCTCTCTTCGCCCAAACTTCCATCTGATGTGGAATTTCAAAAGGTTGTAAATGGTGCAAGGCCTCGGTGGTCACCTATGGGCAGTCCTACTAGTGTCTTGTCCACTTCTCAGGCTTTTATGGCTCTTGAGGGTCTACAAGAGGAAAGGGTGGTGCAGCTCCAGGGTGCCCCAAAGAAAGGTGGGAAGAAATCAGGGCGGCCTCAGCCCTCTTCTCCCCCATGATTATCCTGTTTGTGAATGTAAGGGGGTTTAATAAACCCTCTAAAAGGAAGGACATGATGAATGTCCTTCGCAAGTATAGAGTAGATGTAGTAGCAATCCTGGAAACGAGGGTGAAAAAGGGTAAAGCAGATGAGATAGCTAATGATTTTTGTCAGAATTGGAAGAGGTATTTGAACTATGTGGATTCTGAGTTGGGGAGAGTATGGTTATTCTGGGATCCGGACGTGGTTACAGTTGGCATCTTGCTACCTAAGAGGAATTTAGTGCACTGTCTTGCTACAATGGTGACTGGGGAGTCGTTGTTCTTCACGGCGGTTTATGCATCGAATGATGAAGTGGAAAGAAGGGCAACTTACTTGGAATTGTCTCAGATTAAGGTGAGTGGGTTTCCCTGGCTGGTGGGTGGGGATTTCAACGCTGTTTTAAAACCTGAGGAGACTTCAAACCTCAGAGATACTAATGGTTGTATGGCTGATTTCGGCAATTGGGTGGCTAATATGGAGCTGTTTGATCATAGAGCGGCAGGGCCTCAATTCACAAGGACTAACAGGCAAATGAAAAATCCAATCGCAAGGAAGTTGGATAGAGCTTTGGTTAATGAAAGCTGGTTTGACAAGTTTCCTGACTGTAGGGTAGAGCTTATTCCAGTGGTTTTCACAGATCATTGTGGGGTCCTTGTGGCTACAAAGCCAGGGCAGAAAACACTCCCTAAGCCCTTCAAATTCTTTGACTTCTGGGCTGAGGATCCGCAATTTCTTCCTCTGATTCAGAAGGCTTGGGAATTGGAGGCTCAGGGGGTCCCTATTATGGTTGTGAGAGCAAAGTTAAGTGAAGCAAAGAAGTTGTTAAAACAATTGAATAAAGAGGTCTATGGTGATTTAAGTAGTCAAGTAAAGGAAATGGAAAAGAAGCTGCTTGATACACAGCTTGTGGCTCTTGATGAACCTGGGGAGCAGATTTTTCATGAAGTTGCTGTGCTGGAGGCTCGTCTATTTGAGCTTAGGATAGCAGAGGAGAGTATGTACAGGCAAAAGTCCAGGATAAACTGGTTGTCTTTGGGAGAGAGATGCACTGGATTCTTTCATCAGGCTGTCAAGGTGCGCAATGCAAAAAAGGCAATCAGGAAATTGGTTACAGAGAATGGTGAAGAATTGTTTGAGAGTGATCAGATTGCGGAGGAGGCAGTAAGGTTCTATAAATACTTGTTTGATAGGGTGGACCCAAATGTACATCCTAGCAGAGAGAAGTTGAGTAATCTGGTTCAGAAAAGGCTGAGTGAGGAGGAGAAGGTGTTTCTAAGTGTTGAATTCACTGCAGACGATGTTAGAAATGTGGTAATGCACATGGACCCGAATAAAGCTCCAGGTCCTGATGGGTACTCGGCTGGGTTTTATAGGAAAGCTTGGTCAATAATTGGGGTTGATGTCACTGTTGTCAAGAAAGCCAGTCACTTACCTCAATTCACAGGGGAATAAAATCGTGATAGCACTTGGAAAGAATCATATATGCAAGGAAAGAAGGATTGAGCAAATCAGAGGACGTGACACATGAGGAAGGAATTCAAAAGGGAAGACCTACCTTCTTAGAACCCAACGGCTAGAGGGTGGCATGATATATAGCTTGATCAAGATCAATGAGGAGGCACTTTTCGAGGAGATCAAGATACACAGGAGAGGCTAAGGAAATAGCAGTGTAAATTGATAGCGAAAAGAGAGCTTTAGCATTGAATCTGGAGAGAAACAGTGTTAGAGAGTAGAAGCGTTGGACAACGCAGGAGCTGGAGAGCTCAGGTCACAAGTTCCATTTGTAGAGTGTAGATTAACCTTCCTGGACAGGACGGGTTAAGCTGGATAGCATAGTGCGATCAACGAAACATATCAAGAGAATTAGTGGATCGTTGGAAATCACAAGATCGTGATATTCCAACCGTGGATTAGTCAGTATTGGGGTTCTTTTTCCCAATACTGGATACCACGTAAAAACTGGGCGTGCATCTTTTAATTTCTGCTTCGTAATCTTC